TTCTTCCCCCCCCCCCCCCCCCCCCCAATGCCACAGCAATCTAAGAAATAGAGGAAGCTCGCTTTGTGATATTGCTATACTTGTAGTTGACATCATGCATGGTTTGGAGCCACAGACAATTGAATCAATAAATCTGTTGAAATCGAAGAAATGCCCCTTTATAGTAGCTCTCAACAAGGTAAGATAGCTTTTTAATCTAATAGTGTGTTATTCTACTCTAATAGTGTATTTGGCATCTGACAGTTTTCTGTTTTCTTCCATGAACTTGAATTGTTTGTGTAAAGTCTGAAGCAGTGGTTCTTAGATCCTCTCTGTTGCACTTTTCACGTCCTTGATACCCCAATGGCTTTGCAGGAGCTTTGCAGAACAATCTATCGGTGGTTCTCAGAGTCCTTACTGATAAATTTCTTTACCTTATGTAACTTCCTTATATGGTTCCCAACTGAAGTTGTACTTCAGTTGTGGTTTTTTTTTTCTTGCACCTACTTACATAGATTTGTGTGCATTCTCTGATAAAATTGAAAGACAAGCTTCATATTGAAAAGTCTGACTTTATTTTAGCTACTGATACTTGTTAGTTTGACTTGAAGACAAGCTAGCTTTTAAGCTCATGGGACAGTAATGTTGATCACTGGTGGGAAGTATTTCAGGCTCTGCAATATTCAATGGTAAAGCCAATTATTTTCAGCCTTGTTTTTAGGAATCCTGTGCATGAGAAATTACACTGGCTGTTTGTGATGACTTACATGAATTATAATAAGGAAATTACTCGTGTCCCATGACTTTGGATGCTCTCTGACATGCTGACAGAGAACTTACAGAAGGGTATTTGTGTGCAGTGTAAAAATTGCAGTATACTTCAAAAAATGAAATGAGTGTTAAGATTGAAGTTTGTTGGAACTGAGGAGGCCATTATCTCATTGCTGAAAACAGCTGCTTTTTTAAAAAAAACCTATTGGATGGAGAGGTGTTAAGGCCCACAGGGAGCCTGAGATTAAATAGCCAAAAGTTCTTGCACTTCAGGTTATAATCCATTTTCTAAAGATGTAGTTTTGATTTGTACAGCAAATGTAATAGTTTCTTGGACTGAGTCCATCCTGCTTTGAAAGTGTACTTAGGGAAGTATTTCTGAAGTATGCGATTGTGTCTTTTGAACAACCCCCCCCTGTGATCCCTTCTCTGTAGCAACATGGGAAAGGGTCCAAATTCACCAGTAAGTTTTAAAAGTTCTTTGTAAAACTAGTACAGTCTCTTCTCGGGGGAAAAAAAAACCCCACATTTTTTTGTGTGTATGGGAAGCTCTGTATGGGTCTCTTTCTTCTGAATGTTTTACCTTAAACTTGATGTAGTTAATGTATATAAACTTTTCCCATACGAACCTAGATTATTATAGCTTGAATCTTTAAAACCTGAAGTAGTATTGCTATCGTGAAATACTGTCCGACATTGGGTAAATACATAAACAGAGATAAATATAGCAGCTAAAGCAAATAAAAAGATTTGATACTGGAGCAAATAGGTGGCTAGCTATGTTGGCTGGTAAAGTATTTATCACAGATGATGTGGCATAAGCATAAAGATGCCCTTTAGTAAGCTGCATAAGATGACGTATTACTGTATTTTCAAGATTGATAGGTTATATGATTGGAAAAAAAGTCCAGATACGGATGTAGCTGTCACCTTAAAGAAGCAGAAAAAGAATACAAAAGATGAATTTGAAGAGCGTGCAAAAGCTATCATAGTGGAATTTGCGAAACAGGTAGGCTGGAATATTCAAGGTTCTTCTGTTAACAAAAGTGAGAGTAAAGATGGTAGGTGGGTGGTGTGGTTTGTGTGTGGGGGGGGTTGGTTGTTTTTTTTTCCTTTCCACAAAACAACTTGGAATGTCAAGAAAACTGTTGCATCTCTTCTGACACCTTGGTGTTTACATCTCATAAACCAAACTTTGTTGTTGCTAAATTAACCTCTCAACTGCTCCATCCTTAGAGTGCTAGTTTGGAGAAAAGTAGCAGCTAATTGCTATGCCTGGTCAATGGAGTCATGAATAGCAGATTAAGTTTTCTGTCCCTATTCTTTCTCTCTTTGGGACTCACCTGAGAGAATCCCATCTGCCTCTTGTTCCCTTGGAAGCTGGCAGGCATGAATCGCATCAGTTCTGGGAACTTCTGTTGGCGACATACAATGCTGTCTAGAAGCTAGATGTGGTAATTAGCTTTGTAGAGTTATCCCATACTGCTTCCAAGTGTGGGTTGAGGCTTCATGTTCCATGGCATACTATCAGTAACAATGTTTGTTTAAAAATTGGGATTTAAAAAAATGCAATAGTAATTGACTGGGGTTGAATGTTACTGTTAATACTGATGTGTGTGTATATATGTTTTTCCCTGTATAACTATTAATCCTGATTCCAGGGCTTGAACGCTGCCTTGTTTTATGAGAATAAGGATCCCCGCACTTTTGTTTCTCTTGTACCTACCTCTGCTCACACAGGGGATGGCATGGGAAGTCTGATAGCTCTTCTCGTTGAGCTAACGCAAACTATGCTGACCAAGAGACTGGCTGAGTGTCAGGAGCTGAGAGCTCAAGTCATGGAGGTAATTCAGCAGCTGTTCTTTGAAATTCATCTAGAAATTTCTCCCTTCCCTGCCCCCTTCGTCCTGGTTAAAAAAAAGTTTGTTTGAAGTGCTTAAATAGGGAGTAACTTTTTTCTCCCCTTTCATTCAGGTTAAAGCACTGCCAGGCATGGGCACTACCATAGATGTTATTTTGATTAACGGACGCCTGAAAGAAGGAGACACCATTATTGTTCCTGGGGTAGAAGGTCCTATAGTAACTCAGATTAGAGGTCTTCTGCTACCTCCTCCTATGAAGGAGCTACGAGTTAAGGTATGGAAACTGGTTAGTGTATTGACGCTTAGAGAAGATTCAGAACCAGAAAAAAAAAACCCCATCAAGTTTTATAAAAAATGAGAACGTAGTGGAGTGCCGTTATATTAGCTGTATCTAAGGGTGACTTAAAGGGGAAGACAGTGCACATCTAGTGTTTTCGTGAATGTACTTGTATATACCTATTGGTGTGTCTGTTATAACGGTGGCAAAGAAAAGGATCAAGGAGTTGCTTTGCAGTGAGGATTAAGATGTGTATGCTTTAATAAGGGATTCAAGCATGTGGCTACGTGTGAGAGGGAGATACCCATCTTAAATGGACATTGGAGTGTACCAGTACAGTGACTTCTGAGTTAACGGTTATATTATTAGTAAAAGTGGTTTTTTGGTAACAAAAATCATATACACTTAGATTTTAGAAAAGTGAACAAGTGAGTTTCTAGGAGTAACTGGTGAGCGGTGATGACCAGGACCTCTGCAGGATCTGCAGCCTTTTGTCATTTTCAAGAGTTGTTTTGCTGCCCTAGTCTTAATAGACTGGGAAGAGACACTGAATTTGAGATCCTGCCTGTATTGCTTCCTGTGAAAGAAGGAGGAGGAGAGCCACAGAAATGAAAGGCTATAAGTACATTAATACATACATTAATATTAATACATACAATTCAAAGATGATGCAAAGAGCTGCTCTGATTTTTCCTGTTTAAAAGGGAAGGAATAAGTGTCTGCACAGATTTTGTTTGAGGCAAAGAAAACCAGAGATAACGTAGGTAATGTAATAGGACAGGCCTTAAAGGTTTGGTTTAGAGGTGGAAAACTAGTATCGGAGTCCTAATCTAAGGCCATAACAATTGTGGTGCGCTTCATTTCATTGAGGAACTGTGTCCCTGCAAGCCACTGTAGTCCTTAGCGTTTAATCTAGTTCCTTCCTGCAAACTTGTAAAGTAGTACTAATAATTGCCGGGGCCTGGGTTGACGTTGGCATTCTCTTTCCACCACAGTGATTCTCTGTTGTGAGACCATTGTGGCCTCAGAGGTGCTGAAGGATGCAGTATTGACGTTGAGGTAGAATCTGAGCGAGGGCTTCTTGGCCTGCTTTACATAGGAAGACAAGAGCCACTCTTTCTGCTTGTGCGTATGGCAGTCTAATACGCTTGTGGGGTAGGACAGTTACCTTGGAGAATCTAAGTCAGGCTTCCCACTCTGGAGCGCAGCTTTACGGCAATAACTTGGTAACTGCTAGAGAGTGGCAAAAGGAAGATTGACGTTTATGCTTAGGTTATGTTCTCTGATTTGCTGGAAGCGGTCGAATATATTCTGGTACTGTGAGGAAGGAATCGAAAGCATTTCCATCTGTTTGCTTCCCTTTATTTAAAGCAGAAGATAAACTGGTGTGTGAAACTCTTACGAGACTGAAGGTTTTTTGTGGGACTGAATAGCAACGTAACAGATCACAGGTTCCCATCAACACCATCTTCAGATGAGTTTCTGCACTTTGGTGGGAGATGGGAGTATAGGGTAGCAGCACCAAGATGAAGAACACGGGATTTGGGAACCTTTAGCTGGGGAAGTGGATCTAGGAGAGCTGTGGGGTTTTTTTGGTTTGTTTGGGTTTTTTTGGAGCAGGCAGTGAGGATACATTGCAATTCAGCCTGTCCACGGGGAACTGTCATCCTTGAAATAAGACCCAAATTTTGGGGTGGAGGGCTAAAGAATAGAGGCTTGCAGGAACAAAGTGCTTACTGAGGAAGGAAGCTGCCTTGCAGTTTCAAGAAAAGGATGGGACATCTCCTAAACAAAAGAAATGAAGAAACAAACCAGAAAATCCCTCCAACGTTGATTTAAAAGTCTTCAGAAGTAACTGCTTCTGTGATGCCTTAGAGCCATGCCCTGAGCGGGGAGAGATCTTTGAGGTTCCCCTGGGTGGGGAGGAGCACCTGGGAAATCGAGCATGGAACTACGTACATGAGAAGGCTGGATTGGGAGGCCTCCAGTGGGAGAATGAGACAGCTCTTCCTGCCCACAGCCTTGGGCTGTATCAGCTAAGCTTTAGTGCTGTAGCTGAGCTGTGAGCATCTTCCTCTTACTTCCCTATGGGGCTGAATTTGTGTGGGTTTGGTTTGTTTTGTTTTTAGTGAGCAGCTGCCTATTGCTGCTTGCTCTTTTCTTGTATATATTCCTTTTTGGCTGTTGCCTTCCTTTTTAGACAATTCCCCCTGCCCTGCCTGCCTGGGCGGGGAGGGTGGGGGTTGGGAAGGTATCTGATGGGAGAGGAGCACGCAGACTGAAACATGCGCGCCAGGAATGTGAAGTAGAGAAAATCACTGATGAAAGATGGGAGCTGCTGGACTTCACTGACATGCTATCTGCTGTGCTTGCTGGTGGCAAGTTCTTTAGCTGCTCAGCACTGCTTTGTGTTGCTGTGTAGCATCTACATGAACTCTTTGCTATTGTGTATTCTCCTTTTCAGAACCAGTACGAAAAGCACAAAGAGGTCGTTGCTGCTCAAGGGGTGAAGATTCTTGGGAAAGATTTGGAAAAAACACTGGCCGGTTTGCCATTGCTCGTAGCTTATAAAGAGGATGAGGTCCCAGTCCTCAAGGTGAGGTGGCTAATGTTGAAATAAGACAAACTGAGGGCAACTGAGTTCTCTGGTGACGAAGCTCATTCAAAATGTTGAGAGCTCAGTATGCTTTTTTGGGTTGTGTTTTAAAAACCGTTACAATAACATGCTGTAGCCTTGTGTCCCTGTGAAGCATTAGTGTGGTGATGTGTTTAGTATCTTTACCTGTAGCTTTTCTCTGATATTTTGCTGGGGTGTCTCTGCTGGTAGAATAAGGTTTGAAAACAAGTATCATAGCGTAGTTTGACTATATGTTAATTACTGGTTTGGTATTTGTAGTAATTTATGCATATACTTGAATCAAATTATATTAGGCAAATATCCGCTAGTAGCATTCTTCAAACTATCATAATTGCAAAGCTGATTTAAGACTTCTGTAGTAAATTTCTTTTGTGACTTACGCTTTAAAAATGACAGAGGAAAGAACGTACCTATCTTAAAACCAAAATTGAGATGAGATGCTCCTGCTCTCCGAAGTCAGGAAGTTAGTTTAAAAAGGAAACTCACATGTTGATATTTTACTTTTAACCATATTTTTACTGTAGCCTTCTGTCTACTTATCTTTGCCTCTAAAGGAAGGTTAATCTTTCAGGTCCTCCAAATACAGACCTTGTTTCTGGGCTCATACGAGTATGTATGTGAAGTGTACTAGTAGTAGATATGTGAGGGCTTAAAGTAGATGGCAACACCCATTCATCTGGCAGAGGCAAAGACTGAGTGGTGGCTTTAAAAGGCATGGGCTCTTAAAAAATGGTGGTTTTAACTTCTCTGAAAGCAGCAAAATGGCCTTGCTGCTTTTGTATCCTCTGTTTCGTACCTAGGCCTAAAGAGCACTCAGAATCCTTTCCAGCTCATGGTTTTAGGAGTGTCTGCTTTTATTGTCGATCCTCAGTTGGCAACCAGAGATACTGCCACCCGCTCTGGGGTGTGTGTTCACTCAGTCTTGCCGGCAGAAACTTACAGTGCTGGGGAGAGCAACGCGTAGTCTGCAGTGAGATGTTACTAACTCCCAAGATGGGCATCTGCTTTGCGTTACATGGTCACCTTGCAAAATCCTCAAGTCTAGCTCAGTTCAGACTTGTCTAATGCCAGGAAGAAGCAGCAGCGTATCACAGGGCTGTGTACGACCTATACTGCGAGTCCGTAGGCTGGTACCTATCAGTACGGCTGTCACATACTTCCAGCAGCTCATGAACAGAAAGACTTTGTACCCCGAGGCATAAATAGCAATAGAACTAAAACTTCCTTTTCTCTCCTTTTTTTTTTCTAAAGGATGAACTAATACATGAACTGAAGCAAACACTGAATGCAATCAAATTGGAAGAGAAAGGTGTCTATGTCCAGGCTTCTACTTTAGGCTCTTTAGAAGCATTACTTGAATTTCTTAAAACGTCAGAAGTGCCAGTAAGTACTTCTATGCTGTATCTGATGTGGCTGTTCCTACGTTTGGGTTGGTAACTGTTTCCTTTCGACTCAGAAAGGTTAGCGACTGATTTATGTGGCTTTCTTCTTCAACAGTATTCAGGAATTAATATAGGTCCTGTCCATAAAAAAGACGTTATGAAGGCATCAGTTATGTTGGAGCATGACCCGCAGTAAGTAACTTCTTTGCTTTACTATGTTGATAAATGCGCGGTGGTGTTTCAGGAAGGCCCCCTCCTTAGCTCTAGTTCTACGGTCTGTCTAGTAAACTGTTTGACTTATTTTTACTTACAGATACGCAGTCATTCTAGCATTTGATGTGAGGATTGAACGTGACGCACAGGAGATGGCCGATAGTTTAGGAGTTCGAATTTTTAGTGCTGAAATAATTTATCACTTATTTGATGCCTTCACAAAATACAGACAAGACTACAAAAAACAGAAACAAGAGGAATTCAAGTAAGTAAGAGCAATCCTATTCTGGATGCTTGCCAAATAACAGTGTCTCAATATTTACAAGAAAATAGAAATCGCCTTTAACTTCTTGTTTCCATATTGTTACTTAGGATGTAGTTCTGATGGGAAGGAAGGAGAGGAGGAAGAGGATAGTAACAATAAATTGATAGTTTTCGAGAATTCAGTACTCCAGTTGAATCGTTTACATCTGGGATTAGGCTTAGTTGGGTGAGAGTTGTGAAGCAGTTGTCAGATTTAGCTAAAACTGTCATGTAATATGGAGTGTTCTTACTAAGGTTTGCTTTGTATACTTGGCCTCTGTTCCTAGTTTGTGACAGATGGGTTAGTCTTGCAGAGTTAAGAAAACAAAACTAAAGGGATTTGGATTCTGTTGCTTCATATTTATACAATTCCAGTGTACAGGGCTTAATTCTGACTGCAGTAACATGAATATGCAATCATTTAAGAATTTATAGGGACCCAGAATTAATTTTTGGAATCTGTGTCATTGGCTGATCCTCAGTAAAGTAAGGATGGACAAACTAAATGAAAATGATTTTCATCATTTCATATTGATCCCAATTTGAGTTTGTATACCTCAGTGTCTAAACTTACTTGTTCACTTTACAAACAAAAATCTTGAATTTTTGGAGTCCCTGTGATGGGTTGAGGCAATAATATTTCTATTCCTATGCTCTTCTGAGACTATAATCATACTGTAAAATTACTATTCCTTTGGTCTTGGTCTTAGTTGACAGCCCAAGGCAGTCAAAATTAAAATCCATGCCAGCCATGCTTGATTATTGTTCCCTATAGTTCTCGAAGATCAAGTATTGACTAGAATTAGCAGGATTGGAAAAGAATGTTTTCCTGCTTGATTTCTCCCCAAGTCTCCCCAGTGAACGCCCAAGAAGCGTGGGAGAAGGCAGAACTGTTACCGCTGTGGACGCTGTTCCAGTATCTATTTCAAAATGCCTTTTCTTTGTCATCTTCCAGGCATATAGCAGTATTTCCTTGCAAGATGAAAATACTCCCTCAGTTTATTTTCAACTCCCGTGACCCAATAGTGATGGGTGTAGTTGTGGAGGCCGGCCAGGTGAAGCAGGGGACTCCCATGTGTGTACCTAGCAAAAACGTAAGTAAGCGCCTCTTCCCGGTGGACGTTTGATCTACCTGGTCGTTGCTGGGACGATGCACCAGGAAGCGTTTGCGTGCCTTTCCCCAGCGTACAGAGTTTCGGTAGGAGAGGAGATTGAGACTTGCCGATCACGTCTCTTTCCCGGTGATCTTGCTGTTCTCTGCCAGAACAGAGCCGAGTCCTGTGGCGGGGCACAGCCCTCCTGACTGCCGCAGGGCCCTGCCGGGAAGCGTGGCTAGAGGGTGTTTGTCAGTCAACCGCCCTACCTCCCCCGCTGCGATTTCTGTATCGTGAGATGGAGTAACAAGCAAAACTGTCATTCCTGGTAGCTGATAAGGGGGGGAAGTCAACTCCTGGTGTCTTGAGGGCTAACAAATTGATATCCCAGATGGATAAGGGGGTGGAGCTATGGATGGTTTGACATCGCTGCCCTTTTCAGTGCAATGTGCGTACAGTGCAGCATGTATTGCTTTGCCAGTTCCGAGGCGGCTGCTCCGATAGTGCAGTACTTCGTACGAGCAAGTCTGTATATATAAACAGGACTTTAGAGAAGAGTGTGTGCACAGAGCTTTTGTGGATGTGTATTACAGCTTCTTCATTGTATTACAGTTTGTTGAAATCGGAATAGTTACAAGTATTGAAATAAACCATAAGCCAGTGGAGGTTGCAAAAAAAGGCCAAGAAGTATGTGTTAAAATAGAACCTATTCCTGGTGAATCACCTAAAATGTATGGACGACACTTTGAAGCAACAGATATCCTCGTCAGTAAGGTAAAAGCAATCTGCATTTTTGGAGAGGGCTTGTGACATAGCGGTAGCTTGTGTGAAGTGGAAATGTTGCACGAAGCCTGAAAACCATACACTAGAAGCCTTCCATCAGAGACTGGCAGACACGTGAAATGGTTCGCGTGTGGCATTGTTCAGCCGAGTTTCTCTGTAGCCTTGTTTTGAGACTTGTAGTAGTGCCCCCCTCAAGAGGACCAAAGGAATGATGTCCTGCAGCTCAAAATGCCTTGCAGCTTACTGCACCTGAGAGGGTAAAATGCTAAATGAGCTATTTGCATACTGTTGTATGTAGCTGGTGCTCAGAGCAGCTTAGCAGTCCCCCGTGGCACTACAGCGTGACTGTGTTTGCCTGGTTTGGAAATCGTGCAATAAATAGCAATACTTCAGTTGCTCCGATTCCGGAACACTGGGCTTGGAGGAGGAGATGATCCCTTGCTCGGTTTTCTGCCGTGAGAGGCAAAGCCACAGCCCTCCGCATCCCTGCCTGCTTTAGTTACCGTGTTGTAAGACACCCCCTGCCACACACACGCTGGGGGCATGTACCCACAAATTGGGGGGTGAGTAGCCACAGGGGCTTCTCAGATGGAGATGCAGGGCCTGTGACAGGGACTGGGAGGTGGTGCTGGTGCGGTGGGCACTGGGGGAAGCGGGAGATCCTCTCCGGTCACAGGTTCTCGCCTTGCCGCATGAGGTGTGAGATGGTCTGTGCTTCTGCAGACCAGGTAAGGGGTGGGAGAAGAAAAGAAGGGAAGGAATGGGACAGGTCACGCAGCAGATCAGTAGCAAAACTGGGATTAGAAGGAGCGTTCCTGCTGCGCAAACGGATGCCCTTTCTTCAGGTTAATTGCTTCCCAGGCGCCAAAAGCCGCCTTTGCTAGCGTCGTGTGTGTGTCCTGCTGCGCAAACGGATGCCCTTTCTTCAGGTTAATTGCTTCCCAGGCGCCAAAAGCCGCCTTTGCTAGCGTGCGTGTGTGTGTGTGTTTCTGATGGGCTTGTCTTGTGTGTTACAGATCAGTCGTCAGTCCATCGATGCTCTGAAGGACTGGTTCAGGGATGAAATGCAGAAGTCTGACTGGCAGCTTATAGTAGAGCTGAAGAAAGTGTTTGAAATCATCTAGGTAACTTTTTACAGCGATGGGGAGGCAGGAATAAACGCGCTATTCCTGTTCTAAAAGTTACCAACAAAGTCGTATATTGAAGACAGTGTTGGATATATGTTTGGGAGGAAAATATGTGGATAAAATGTTTTCCATGAGAAACCAAGAAATTTACACTGGTTTGACAGTGGTCAATTTACATGTTCCCATGGTTCCAATGTGCCTGTTCACCTCTCCTACTGCCCTTCCTAATACTGGCTGCTGTTTTAAAGTTTGCCCTTCCTTCTCTTACACCTTCCTTCCACCCTTTGGCCCTCCCTCCCTCTCTCCAAAATAAAATAAAATAAATTGAAATTTTTATTACAGAACTAAAGCTCTTTCACTTTTATACTGATGAGATCAGTACTGCAGTATTTGATTAACCAAGCTTCTGCAGACTTTGTGATTCTTGGGACATTTTTGATGTAAGAAGTACTTCTTTATTTATGCATACCTCTTCCCTTGGCTCTCTTTTCCAACATTCTTCTGCTTTGTGCCTATAGACATTTTTTTAAATAGAAAATTAGGCAATTGGGTATTTCTGTATTTGCTTTGTGTGAAACAATGATGTAAAGCATAGTTGGCCGCCTTTTACTGCTTGTACAGTTCATGAAAGTCGACCTGTAATCATTATAACGCAGAGCTGCAAATAAAGGAGATGGACATAGTAGCCCATTTGTTTTACAGTTTGCTTCAATAAACACAGTTTCACTTCATGGGCTGTGGCAGCCGTGGAGGTGCCCGATGGAGGCTTGCCTCTCTCTGCCTGGCAGAGTCATGGAGGCGCGTTCCAGCAAGGGTGTTTCTTCAAAGCTGTTTCTTCCTCTGGCTTCACTTCCCCTTGTGGAGCGTGTGCGTTGTGCGTTGCGGTGATTGCGGTGGCTCACGTCTCTAACCGTGTTCCCGAAGCGCTGGAGTTGCAGGCCAGGTGTTTAGCAAGTCACAGTTCCCAGAGGGGCTCTGCTGGGAGGAGTTTAGATGTGGCGTCTCTTCTCCAACTGCTGCTCAGAGTTGTGGTAAGCGCCTGCAAAATGATTGTCTGCGAGTGAGCAGTGACTTTGGATGCTGCACCAGAGCTGTTGAGTCATCCGACACCACGAGACTGAACCAGTTCAAAGGGCGTTTGGTTAACATTGTGATGACCAGGAGTCAGTCTGTAATCCCAGCATTTTCCCACCCTTCCTTCCCCCGTGGATGAGAGCTTGACGTATCTCTCATCAGGTAGTCTCCTGGTAACTTCTGGCTCATGGTGAGAGGAGCTAAAGAAATACTTTTCAAAAGCACAAGCTGAAACGAAGTCGATAATGATCTTTCATGTAGCTGAGATCTTTAGCATTTGAAATATTTACAAGAATTTACTTTGCAATTTGCAGTTTGATCGGATTTCTGCTGTCACTTAGATTATTTCTTTTGTTAGAAAAATCTGAATTTTATAATTGGGATTGTGCGGACTCCATTACAAAGGAAGACTTAATTTACCTCCTTTGGCAATGGAATTTAAATTACCAGATTTTTTTTTTTTTTTGGTTTGTTAGACTTTAAACTTGCTACTGAAAAGGCCCTTCTCAGTATGGGTGGTGCGTGGTGCAAATTCACATCACCGGGCGTGTCGGTGGTTTGGAATAGAACGATCACGGTGAGGAGACTGCATTTAATTGTTATGATTTTCTTTTGCAAACTATGCAATCATGAAAACTACACTAATAAAAAGTTCTTAACTTAAGAACCCAGATGTCTGTCAAACATTGTGGTCTTGATGTATTCTTGATTGTTTCCTCGAATGTGGAAGGGTGTGCCTCCCACAGGTAGAAACTCTGGGAAAAGGATCATGCTGCTCGTGCAGGTTGCTGTTGTGGAACTTACAAAATACCTTCACTAAAAGGCTTTAAGAAAGCAGATGACTGAATATAATACTTAAGGGCTGAAGCAGGGATCACTAAGGGGGAATGAAAATATAATTACAAATAGACTTTTTTTTTTTAAAAAGCTACTTTCAAGTATGTCTTGAGCAGCACTCACAGAACCAGAGCTGTGTACCTGAAACCTAATTGGCAAAATACTTGCTTGAATTTCAGCAACTATTCCTCTGTGTAAACAGTTAGCATGTCCATTTTCTTAAATGGGGAAAAAAGAAAAAGGCAGCTTCAAAAGCAGCAACTAAAGTGGCTCTGAAAGACCCAAACTAGAACCTAGTGGAAACCTAGAGAACTTGACTCGGGTACGGTCCCTCTCCCTCTGTAGACAGACATCTACAAATAGATGCTGTTATATAGACAGATATCCAACAAGCTAACTTGAGCTGGAAAAATCAGTGACAGGCTGGTTGGGGTTGGAAGGGACCTCTTGCGGCTGCCAAGTCCAAACCCCTCCCTGTGCTCAGGGTATGGGCAGTCAGAGCAGGTTACCCAGGACTGTGTCCGGTTGCATTTTGAGCACCTCCACTGATGGAGGATCCACAACTCCTGTGGGCAACCTGTTCCAGGGGGTGTGTGGGCTGTATGTTTTGGACCAGTTTGTGTCTGCTGTCTCATGCCCTTTCACTTGATACCAGAGAGTAACGTCTGTCTCCATCTTCCTTATTCCCCCATTAGGTGTTTATACATGTGGGTAAGACTTCCCCCCCGCCCAGCCTTCTCTTCTCCAGGCTGAACGGTCCCAGCCCTCTCAGCCTCTCCTTGTATTAAGAGAGAAGCTCCGCTCCCTTAAGCAACTCTGTGGCCCTGCGTTGTATGCCCATGTCCCCTCTCATACTGGGGAGCCCAGAACTGGACCCAGCAGGCCAGGTGTGTCTCACCAGTGCTGAGCAGAGGGGAAGAATCTCCTCCATCGACCTGCTGGTGATGTTCTTCCTCATGCAGCCCAGGAGGCTGTTGGCCGCCTTTGCTGTGAGCGAGTACTGCTGGTTCAAGCAACCCACAGGGCCTTCTCTGCAGAGCTGCTTTCTGGCCAGCTGGCCCCCAGTGCCTGGGGTGGCTCCTCCCCGGGTGCAGAACTTTGCACTTCTCCTTGTTGAACTTCACGAGGTTCCCACCAGCCCGTTTCTCCAGCCTGTTTGTCTCTCCAGATGCTGCAGAGCCCTCTGCTGCATCAGCCAATCTTGTGTCATCAGCAAACTCGCTGAGGGTGCGCTCTGCCCCACAGCCAGGTCATTAATGAAGATGTTGAATAGGATTGGACCTGGTAATGACTGTGGGGTTACACCACTTGGGACTGGCCTCTAGCAGGACTTTGTGCCACTGATCACCACGCCCAGGGCCTGCCTGCCCAGGTAGTGCTTGATCCACATCCCTGTCTCTAGCCCACACTTCATCAGCTTGCCTATGAGGATGTTACAGGAGGTGTTATGAAAAGCCTTACTAAAGCCAAGGGAAGCAACGTCTGCTGCCCTTCCCTCCTCCATCACCTTGTTGCAGAAGGCTGCCAGGTTGGTACCTCTCCCAGTGTGCATTACAAGGGAAGTCTAGAGCACAACCTAAGGCTAAAAAATGCTGTCGCTGCTGTAACCTGTCCTGCAGCCAGTGCAGCGACTGCAGAGCGTTCCCTGCTCTAGCTGTAGTTAGCTGCAGCTAATTTGAGTGCAGCAGCTCCTGCCCTGTGGTAGCGGAGATGCTTCCAGCTAAGCTGGTGGCGCAAATCCTGCTCCAGGGCTAGCTCCAGTTTGCATTCCAGCTTTCAATTCTACAGTCAGGTGGGTCCACACCCATCCAGGGTTACGTGGGGTACTTCTGATTCCCCCCGAGTCATTTCTTCAGAAAAGGAAAAGATTTTTCTTACCACCCAGGTTTTGTTCAAGCGGTCTTCAATTCTTTCCAGGCACCTGAACAGCCTTGCTTCACCGTATTGGGCCAAATAGGACTATACGAGGCTGGTGTACACCTGGAAAAAGCAGACTTGCCCAAAACAAACTGTAGCAATGCAAGCATACCCCTCCCTACCACGCACGCGAATAGATAGGGCTATTTATTTCACTTCTGCTACTCACTACGACCTATTTTGTTACGTTGCATAAAGGAAATGCCTGCCACAGGCTGGGGAGAACTATGGTATTTTAAAAGTGGAACACGGCTCTATCCTGCGTAGGACCGATAGAAGCTTAAACAGTGCTCCACGTTAGCTGCTCCCTAGCTCCTCAACAGCGCTGCTTTTGGGTAACTGTTTAAAGATCTCCATTTGTTTTCCTCCACGAGCACACATCTCTAGAGGTAACAGTGCACCTGAATACACAGAGCTCAGAGAGCAATTACGGTTCAGCTAACACACCGTGTGTGCTTTGGGAGTTGCTGGGCCATGCTGGTTTCCGTCTTTGAAGGATGAAACGGAAAATGAGCTAATATTCTTCCCTCAGCTTAAAATCCCTAATAAAGTCAGTGGAGAAGAAACAGAAAGCAGCCAGGGGAATGTACAGCAGTCTCCTACGTGTGTTGAGACAGTGTCACTGTGTAAAACTTTGTGAAATGAATCAAAGCTGCAGCTTTAATAAAAGGGGTTAGCTATATTCAAACTGAAGCATCACAAAATAGAATCAGTACAAAAATATACATACAGTTCTTTATTAAACAACTGTAAACACTTCACTGTAAAAATCCATAAAACTTTATAAACAAACATTTTGTAAATAGATTCTATACTACAATAAAAGAATTTTAACACAATTATTTACATGCAATACTGACAAATTTGGCACTTTCTGAAAAGAAATGTACAAAACACTTCGTTGTTTAAAAAGAAATTTGAAATTATAAAAACTCAGGGCATTACTATCATGCACTTTGCAAATACCTCACAAGCACTTATGGCACAGCTAGCAGAGAGCTCCAGGCTCTCATCAAGCTCTTTACTACAAGTTCAGATAACTTTTAGTGTGCTTCCATAAGTTTGTTGTAAAACTACCTGAACATTGTCAAGAATGAAGTCAAATGCCATATTCCAAACTGATTCCACAGATGACTGCATTAACCTGAAGGGGAAAAGGAAGAAGAGGGAGAAAATTACCGTTACAGAACCAGTCCTTTTTGCAGCAAGTTTTGGTCTTCGTATTGGAAAACAAGATCGCAACAGTTCACAATGAACGGTGCTTTGATTCGATCTTGGTAAAGCCCTCTCTCTTTGAATATACCAAGCCTTATCTAATGCCACAGATTCCTCTGCCACTCAATGGTGAAACTTCTCATCTGAACGGTGTCACACCAGCTTGTAAATGTCAGCATTTTGCAGTGGTTGTAAGCCTCCGATTAAAGTGGTGACCTTCTACCAACCTCATACTGAAGAATCAGAAATGGCAAGCTTCTGGATCCTCATCCCAAGACATACGTGCTACTTTTTTCTTCCAACGAATGCCAAGGGTGATTAAGACATTTAAATAACAGGTTTTGGGGGCACTGTATGGTGTTTATTGCTACAGGTGGAACCAAATAATGGAGGCCCACAGAGAGCTTCTGAGTTACCTCTATCATTCAGCTGCTACTAGAAGCAAGCTAAAGAAATGCCCAAGGAAAACAAAGAAGCTCTGTACGCTCAAAATCCCCTTCTAGGTCACTATTACAGGAGAGCAGAGGGTTCCTGCACTTACAGCTTTGGAAGACCTAACATCAGTATCATATGGACAACTGCGTATCATCCAACTCCTGATTCCTTGTCCTACGCTTGTTACCAGGCTTTGGAGAGACAGAC